AATAAATGAATAGTTTGATCTTGTATAAGGCCGTTTCCTTTCTTCCACAGCCACCTGCCCATAAGAAGAGCTCTGCTGGATCTAGCCCTTATCTAGACCTGCATCCTGTTTCCCATAGTGACCAACCTACGGGAAGCCCACATGCAGGTCACTAGCAAAAAAGCCCTCTACTGCTGTTTCCTCCTGGCAACTGGTATTCAGTGCCATGCTACGTGTAGTGGAGGACTTTGGACTTTTGCATTTCTGTGGTGCCCTGTCTGATGCCTAAATTCCGCGCCCCCTCACTTGTCACTTTCCATTTTTAGTCATTGTTGCAGCACCCCTTGTGGCACCCTCTCGGCTCAGCGCCCAGTACAGGCAAGCCAGTCCCCTAAATCTGTCTCTGCTACGTATGATACTGGAGGAAATGTATAGTCATAAACCTAGTGACCTTTGATAGCCTTATCTTTTCAGGTTTTCCAGCCAGTACAAAGATATTACAGTGCCTTCACAGTTTGTCTTTCAGTGCTTCCAGTTTTGCCATTTGTTGAACTTGCTGCCTTTGCCTCGCATGCTGGTGCTCCAGCTGTCTCCTTGCATGGGTGAATAAAATGCCACCTCCATATCCTTCCCTATGAGAAAGTGTGTACATCGACATTTTCTCAAAATCATGAAACAGAAGCTCAAATGCTGGCATATTGAGCAATCATATTTATTATTGCTTTCTGATTTCTAAAACCTTCCACTGACTACGAGAGCATGGATTGCAGCTGCTAAGGGAGAGGCTGAAATGCACTTCAAGAGCCAATTCACACATATTTTGATAACCTTATGAGTAATACGGTAAAACCTCTGGTGATGAAATCATGAGGGTTAGGAATACAGGTAGAAACCTGGCTTGCATGAAATGGAGATGATTGTGTAATGACTCACTAACTTGCTGCCAGCTGAGGGAATTATTTTGTGCCTCATTCTCATGTGTTGTGCTTTTTTGCTTTTTAAGATCTGCAGTGAGTGAACCATTGCAATATAGTCTCAATAACAGGTCTTAATTAAAGACCAGCATAAGCCCCAGGACCTAGAGATACAGCCAAGAAACCTACTTTTAGTGTTGAGACTTAGTCCTGAAATATGTGGAACACATATTATTATCCGCGGAGTTCCTCTGCTATATGTAGAGTGCATTTAGGAACATAGGAAGCTGCCTCATATCAAGTCAGATAATCAATCCATCTCTCTCGGTACACCATCTGATAGTAGTTTTCCGGGTTTTCAGGCAGCTCTACCTGTATATGTCATCTGGGACCTTCAACATGCAAAACAGCTGTTCTGCCACTGAGCTGTGGACCTTGGGTTTTACACAGCACTGCTGTTCTGGTTGTGCTACAGACTTATTTATTAAATTTTTATACTGCCCTTCATTTGTAAATCTCAGGGCAGTTCACAACATAAAACTACAGCAAAGCAATAATACCCCCTCCCACAACACATTTAAAGGTGCTTTGGATGTCAAAGGCCTGGATGAAGAGAAACATTTTTTGCCTGGTGCCTAATGGTGTATAATGAAGGTGTGAGCTGAACTTCCCTGGGAAGAATGTTCCACAAACGGGGAGCCACTGCAGAAAAGACCCTTCTTGTGTTGCCATCCCCCAGACCTCTTGTGGAGGATTCACACGAAGAAGGGAATCAGAGGATGATGTCAGGCTCTGGGTAGGTTCATATGAAGAGAGGTGGTCCTTCAGTATTGCGGTCCTGAGCCATTTGAATTAGGCCCAGAAACAAATTAGCAGTCAGTGCAGTTGGGCCAGGATCCATATAATATGCTCAAACTGTCTTGCCCCTAGCTGAAGTTTCTGAACCGTTTTCAGAGGCAGCCCTATGTATAATGTGCTGCAATAATCTAACCTATAGGTTACCAGAGTATAGACAACAGTAGTTAGGTTTACCCTGTCCAGATAGGGGTGCAGCTTGGACAACAACTGAAGCTGATGGAAGGCACTCTGACCCACTGAGACCATCTGAGCGTCAAGTGACAACAGAGGATCGAGGAGTATCCCCAAGCTATGTACCTACTCCTTCACAGGGAGTGTAACCCCACCAAGAGTAGCAACCTCCCATCCATCCAGTCTAGGGAACTGCCCACTAATAATGCCTCAGTATTATCTGGATTGAGCTTCAGTTTACTGGCTCTCATCTAGTCCATTACTGAGTCAAGACAACAGTCCAGCACATCCATTGCCTCACCTGCAGATGTAGCCCACATCCAGCACCTCCATTGGACTGCTTTACATACATTTATGCACAAGATACCTTTCATTCGATGTCTGTACTGGGCTGAGTAAAATCCATTGCAGCAGACCAGATTCTTTGCATCCTCAATAAGCTTTGGGATCAGGCCAGTTATGAACATTCATAACATTCAGTATCATCATGGTCATAAATTCACTGAACATGTTGAGCATGGGATTTTGAAATGCTGACAACTCAGTCATACCTAAGCTAATTTTCCACATGAATATCCAAACTTCACAGGAGGGCTATTCTACAAGAGCTTATGACATTTTATTTCCTGATATATCAAAGAAGTGCCTTTTTAATCATGGAAAAATGCTTCGGCATATTATTCTTTCCTTCTTGAAGATGGACTTTTGTTTTCAGTCAGGATAACAAGGTCAACAGTAAGTTGTAGATTGCATGCAGAAGACTACAGTATCCATCATACAACATCTTCCTTGTTCTCTTGGGCTGATTCACACAAGATCATACACTGCTTGATTATGTATGAAAAATGAACCAATTCTACTTAGCGATCCCCCTCATCCAATTAAATTGTGCAGGGAAGCATTGTCGGGTCACTCTTCTTAGCATCACCTTTTCTGTCATGTCCTTGTCACTCCATCTGCACACCTCTCACATGTTGTAAGGGTGACTTACGATCTTCTAAATCAAATTGGCTGTTATAGGTTTTACATTCATGAAAATGTTGTGAGATGTTTTCTTTTTTCATTTGTTATCGTCCCTTTGATCACTTTGCCTGACCTTACAGAGTCTACTGTCTGGAATACAAGCATGAGTCAAACAGTTGTCACTCACACACAGCCAATGAGGTGAAGTGGTTGGAATTGGGTGTGCGATCAGGACTTGTGGCCCTCCAGAAGTTGTTGGGGTCTCATCATTCCTGTCTGTCAGGCTTCGGGGAATTGGCTCCTCCCCGCCCCCAGTATCAGTAGATAAGAAGATCAAATGAAAGGAACATTTTATCAGTTAGAACCTTTAATAACCATAGCGCAAGAACAAAGAACACATCTCTTAGAAATGGCAATGCTCCCAATTAAGAGACACTTCCCCCTCCATCCCTATTAATCTACGTCATGTAATCTGAGCTGGTGCCCTCTGTGTTTTCTGTTACGACACTTTCTGAGCTCTCTGTGACTTTGGAGAAGTGGGATGAATGCTATCCAGCGACTGTGAATCTGTTAACTCTCTCTCTTCTGTTAGCTGTTCCTCATCCAGTATTTCCCAGCTTCTGCCTTCTGAATTATGCCCCTCTGCAAACCACTGTTCCAAATCTATTCTGTCCTCCTCCTCCTGGGAAGATTCAGGATCAGGATCAGGGGGAGCAGGGGCTCTCACCATTCTTCCTCAGTGCAGCCCTCCTCAGCACGGTCCCTGACACTGACTATTGGCCAAGCTGGCTGTTAGAAGTACAGGTTCCCCACCTGTAAATGATGATAAATGATGAAGGCAGCTACCAAAAGACACAAAACATGGGCATCATTATTAGATTATTTGGATCAACCTGATAATAATATCCTGCAAATGTTTGAGGATTACAACCTTTTCAGACATAAATAGAGTAACTATGTACACACATAAAGACTTTTGAATACCTTAGGCTGCCATTCTTCATACTAACTTGCCTATATTCTTAGGAAAATTGCCAAGAGGAGGAGGCAGATCTGGGGATTAATTTTCTCTCTCCCTTGCACATGTAACATTAAACAAATATGCAAACAAGAATTAAATGAAATATTTTCCCTTCTGCTAACAAACTGGAACTGTTTAAGGAACTGTAATCACAATTTGAAAACCCACTGACTCTGGAAGGCCTATGTTCTCAGGACCACAGCCATTAAAACTTTCACACTATTGATTGATTGTTGTTGGTATTGTTATTTTGCTGAAACAATGAAAACCTTCAGTTTTCACGATTTCCAATTCTTGTTACTTATTTCTACCCACCACTGAACCAAGTGAAGATTCCATTCAGAGCTCCCAAATATGGTGGCAATTATAGCCAGCAGATTTGAGAAGAATAAATATTACACTTGGCTTACAAAAGGGTAAGAGCTGAACTTCCTCATTCTTGAATAGAATGATCTGAAGGCAGCAAAAGAGCCACTGACATGGCTGACACCTGTTCACACCCAGGACTGTGTTGTGAGCTCCATCCCAATTCCAGGCATTCATGGAGGGCAGTGGAAAGAAAGAGAACTCCTGGTGGGGGGCAAAGAAATGTTATGAATGAAGGCTCCACTCTGAGCTTTCCATGCATGCAGATTTTTATGTGGCAGCTCCAAAGTGAAGTCTATAATTTTAAAAACAAACACCTGAGCTATGACAAATGTTTATTTAAACTGCAATTTAAAAGATGAAATGTTATAGCGTTTGTACAGTGTTTTTATATGTTGCCGTATAACAAATGTCAACAAGCATACAAATTCTGATTGTGGGCAAGAGCTGTTAATGTATCCCAAGCAATAGATATTGCAGGGCAGGTGAATCTTCAATAATGTGTTAGGGATCTTGGGCAGAAATAATATACTTGTTTGTTTGTTTAATGTAAAGGCTGCCTTTCTGAGCAAAGCCCTCTCAAGGATGGCTTATATGAACATAAAACTACAATATTCCTTCTCAACAAAGCTGAGATCAAAAATAGGTCCCAATCCAGCCCATTCACATAAAACTGAAAAGTATTTTGAAACAGGCAGTAATATAACCATACAATAGTGAGAAATTCAGCCCAGCATAGCTCAGTCAGTAGAGCAGGAGATGCTTTATCTCAGGGTTGTGGGTTTGAGCCCCAAGTTAGGCAAAATATTCCTACATTGCAGGGGGTTGGATTAGATGACCCTCGTGGTCCCTTCCAACTCTATAATTCTGTCTTTCTGTCTTTGCATCTTGGCTAAGAGCAACTTGACACAAATGGGGTTTCAAGACCCATTAAAAGCCAGAATGGGTGGTGCCAGCTATAGATCCATTGGGGAGCAGTTTCACAAATATGGGCCACTACTGAGAAGGTCCTGTTCCTGCCCGCCTGAAGTATCTGAAGGCTGGAGCTACAACAGGGCCTCTGAAACTTCTGTCAGTGTCTAGACCAGGGGTAGTCAACCTTTTTATACCTACTGCCCACTAATGCATCTTTCTTGATGGTAACATTTCCTTACTGCCCACCAGTGCTCGATGGAAGGAGGATTCAGCTTGTGCCATAGAACCCTCTACTGCCCACCTAGAATGCTGAAATGCCCACTAGTGGGCGGTAGGGACCAGGCTGACAACCCCTGGTCTAGACAGTTTCACACATGCACAACTTCTCATGCTCCCAGTGGTGTGCTGTTGTTTCACCTGACCTTCAGCTAGTTGTGTTGCTGTTTACGGGGAGGTAGATAAGAAGGGGATTTTAAATTTGGCATGGTGCAAATGCACCAGCAGGAGAGCTAGGTTGGCTCTGCTTGTGCGTCAGTTCTCCAAGACTTGCTGCCACCTCCTCTCGACCTACCAGTAAGCAGCAATGACACAACTGACTGGAGGACTGAGGAGTGGCAGAACCCCATCCCACTGTCCACCACTCAGTGCTGGATTTACTGATAAGCTAAACAAGATATAGCTTAGGGCCCCACTCTCTTGGGGGCCCCAAAAAAATTTAAAGGGAAAAAAACTGGATGTACATTTCCAAAATATAATATAAAAAACAAATAAAATAAAACCTACATACAGCAACTGTGTTTTGTGTTGTGTAGGCTCCTATATGTACGTAATGGGCCCCGCCTGCTAGCCTGCTCCCTAAAATATCACTGGTTTGCTCATTTCTATATGTAGGTTGCCTACATTCTGCATGGACTGGTTGCATGGCAACATGTAGCATGCAGCTGCAAACTGCAGTGCAGCACAGTTGAATGTAGGTCAAGCTGTTGTACCTGTTATCTAATATTAAAGAGTGCTTGTAGACTGATAACTTATTTTGTTATGTGCAAATGGCTTTAGATACATATTAGGTCCATAAATTAGGTCGGCGGTTCAAATCCCCACAACAGGGTGAGGTCCTGTTGTTCAGTCCCTGCTCCTGCCAATTTAGCAGTTTGAAAGCAATCCAAAAAGTGCAAGTAGATAAATAGGTACTGCTCAGGCGGGAAGGTAAACGGCATTTCCGTGCGCTGCTCTGGTTCACCAGAAGCGGCTTTGTCATGCTGGCCACATGACCCGGAAGCTGTACGCCGGCTCCCTCGGCCAGCAAAGCGAGATGAGCGCCGCAACCCCAGAGTCGCTCGCAACTGGACTTAACTGTCAGGAGTCCCTTTACCTTTACCTTTAGGTCCATAAGTTACCAAGTAGCATATATTCAACACAGAAAACAGCGACAATTTGTTGCTGACAAAGGACAGCTGGACATATAAAGGGCCCCATTACCTTCAGTAGCTTAGGGCCTCATCAAACCTAAATCCGGCCCTGCCACCACTGCCTGCTGCACAACATCCAGCTTCCCAGGATCATCACTCTGCAGTGCAAAATACACACAGAAGCAGCTGGTTCAAACAACGCAGTAAGCCCCCACGATACCTCACAAACATGCAGGCTGCCAGGCAGCAGCTTGCAGCAACCTTGATTCCCCCCTCCCCTTTAATGCTTTGTTGTGCTGCGCGAAGGTTTAACTTGGCGTGTTATCCAAACCAGGACATGTGGTTAAGCACTTCCGTCACTAAATATAAGCTGTAGCCAAGAACATACCCTGATCCTTATAATCCGGAATGGGGAAGTTCAACAGGCAAAATATGCTTCTGCTATCTGAATAAGGTGAGGCTGTGAAGGTGCTGAACCAGTGCCTGGGGATAGTAATGGGCAGGATGGAGGTCAATAAAGTGAAAGGGAATCCTGACAAAATAGAGATGCCTGGGACTCGGGGGGAATGGCCTGTTTTCAATGGAGTCATGCTCCTCCTGAAGCTCAAGGGAGGTCTTAGATCCTGCTCTGTCACTTGATGCCAAAGTCTCATGAGGGGGTGTGGACTGTCTACTTCCAGCTGGTTCTGCAGCTACACCTGTTCCTGGACCCTCAAAGATGGTCTGGAGACCCCAACTAGTACAGAATGTGGCCCCTGGAGTTTTGACTGGTGCATCTTTGCAAAGTCATAAAACAATTCTGAAGGAGCTATGCTGCCTTTACATAAGTTGCCTGACCCAATTCAAGGAGCTGCTGTTAAAATATGGGACCCAGATATTTTCAGGAGTGGCTCTCAGTCTGTCAGCAGGTCTGGGTCCTAAAATCAGCAGGACTGGGATTTGTTGCAACCCTACAGGCTAGTGTCATGGTACGGGGCCTTCTCTGCAGTGGCACCCTGCTTATGGAATTCTCTCTTCTTGGAGGTACAACTGGGCTCTTGAGGGAAATTGATTATTTTGTCAAGGTTCAAGATAATGAAGACCTCTGCTGTTGTCTTTAGTTGTCTTATGTAGCGTTTTGTATATATATATATATTGTAACATTGTGGTTTTAATGTATAACAGGTGAACAAGCAAATCTTGATCTTAGCTGGTAAAGGATGATTTAAAAATGGAACCAATAAATAGTAAAATAAATTGCAACAAATAAAATATAGGAGGTTGGTACTAAAGCAGCCCTATATCCAAAACATGGCAACATAGAATATGTTCCAGTGGGGTCTGTTATTTAAATGTCTGTCCCACATGAATCTATGGCTAGAAATGGAGCAAAATCACATAGCTTTTAGGATGAATATAACCTATAAAACCTAAGATATTGAGTGAATAAATCCTGGATCTTTGGTGGCAGAAATTGTTTTCATACTTTCTGTTCTCAGTAGAACCATAAAAGAAAGAAATGTAAGACAAATTGCTTTGGGATTTCTCCTTTGTTAACGTCACTCCCTATAATAGCAAAGTGGATATTATGCATGCAGACTGTATGTCTCCTAGGTGAGGGCAGGAGGGGGTGCCGCAAAAATAATCCTAGGTGCACTAGAAGAATAGAGGAACTCCTGCCTCTGAAAACCTTAAACTGTCAGATATGTTTGTGCACATTGCCTTGGAGGGTCTGCAATGCATTGTGAAAGCTTTTGGCTATAGACAGTACAGTGGTACCTCGGGTTACATACGCTTCAGGTTACATACGCTTCAGGTTACAGACTCAGCTAACCCAGAAATAGTACCTCAGGTTAAGAACTTTGCTTCAGGATGAGAACAGAAATCGTGCGGCAGCGGTGCAGTGGCAGCGGGAGGCCCCATTAGCTAGAGTGGTGCTTCAGGTTAAGAACAGTTTCAAGTTAAGAACAGACCTCCAGAACGAATTAAGTACTTAACCCGAGGTACCACTGTAAATTGAATTGATTGATTGAATAGAAATGCACCAGGACTTTGGTGGGGTGGGTGTGCCCACCCCCAGCTCTCTTGCCACGCTTTCCCCCCCTCCTGCCACGGCACATAGATGGATGAATCAGTCTATTTCTAGTCTGTGTCACCTTTGCGATTGTTCACCCATAAGTCACCTCATCTCATTTCTGCACCAGCTTGTGAATTATCTTTAAAAGAAAAACCCACACAAAACTCACATTTAAATACTTTAAGAAATATGGGTTTGAGTATTATTTTCAACATATTTTTTCCTCTCAAAACATGTATTTTTAAACATGTGTTGTTTCAAAATGAAAAGGCAAACACATCATTTGTTGTGATTAAACTGTTGGAAGTGTTGTGATAGTTGGGTAAGTGTGAAATCCAGTGGGTTGTTGTGCTTTCTGACCGTCTCACTAGTTCAAGAAGTAAGGAGCAGGTGAATTCATTTTGTCATTGCAAAGGACAAAATCCCTTCATCACCCCCAACATGACTTTTTGTTGCATGGCCCAAGTTGTGTATTATAGAGGTCCACATTTTATTTTGACACAGCCATCTTTGTTGCTTTCCTTAGACTCTGTTGCCTGTTAGAAACTTTTTGACTCAAAGCCAAATTAAGCTTTGTGGTTGACTCCAAAACACTTCAAATCACAAGTATTTCTTCAGCTTCTGAGGCAACTATGCTCCTTCTCTTTTACAAGTCACATAACTAGGAAGAGAGAGAAAATGTGTCAGAAATCCTGATGCCCTGCCAAGCTCACATCTTATTCTGGTCTTCCCACAGTGAAGGCTTGCCCAGGCAGGCAAGTGTATATTGTGTTTGTGCACTGAGAAGTTAAGAATATAAATAGAGTGGTACCTCGGGTACAAACACTTCAGGTTACAGACACTTCGGGTTACAAATTCCGCTAACCCGGAAGTAGTACCTTGGGTTGCAAACTTTGCCCCAGGATGAGAATGGAAATCGTGTGCCGGCGGCGCGGTGGCAGCGGGAGGCCCCATTAGCGAAAGCGTGCCTCAGGTTAAGAACGATTTCGGGTTAAGAACGGACCTCTGGAACGAATTAAGTTTGTAACCCGAGGTACTACTGTATAAAAATTGCTGTATCAGATAATGTTCTGTGCCAGCCAGCTAAAACCTCTGGAGTACCCTTTCGTTGCTATCAGCTAATACTGAAACTGATGATTCAATATGAGAATAAAGCTTTGTGCAGGATTGGCCCAAGCCATTTCAGCCCCTGAAGCAAAGCACCCTGCTGCCGCACCCACAGCAGGGGGGTGGGCAGACTGCACAAGGGCTCCCCCCTTCAGAAAAAGCTGGTGCTAAGCCCTAGCACACTACCGGGCGGGGGCGGGCGGGGAGATATCCTTTCCAAAACCTCCGCTCCTGCCCAGTGGCAGAGCAGGTCAAACTGCATCTCCCCACTGCTGCTTTTAATCTGTTCAGTTCCCAGACCTGGGTTTCTAATGA